AGACTGACAGCATGTTGTTAATTTTCCAGCCCTTCCCAGTCCTGCTGGAACTCAGGATGTATCAGGTACCCTGCCTGCTCTGCACACAGGCTTAGAGCTCTGCAGTGGCTGCAGCAGCAAGGAGGAAAAGCCACCCTGGCTGTCAGTCATCAGCAGGAGTGTGTCTCCTGTCAGCATTCCAGCATCTGTTAACAGAGAGGAAAGTCAAGAGTATTTCTCCATTTTTTATTCAGAGGATGCCAGTTCAGTTGCCTCTGGCTGAGAAGAGAGGTTTAGCTCCAGACAGCCCCCAATTCCAAAGGCATACCTTGTCCTTGTCTTGGGTTTGGAGCAGAGAGGACCTGGCTCATTTCTCCAGCAAGACTGTAGTGACCAGAGCACTAATAAAACCAAACCAGGAGTGGGGTTGCACCCCTCCTACTCACAGGTGATAGAGATGGGACCCACAGAGGTGTTTTTAGACTCAGCTTGACCTTCACTCACACCTGGGGTTCACGTCAGTGATGGCAGAGGGTGGAGGAACATTTCTCCAGGGCAAAGAGCCTGGAGACTGTCCCAGGCACAAGGGCTGCTTTGGTAGCAGATCAGGTCCTTCAGGAGGTTACAAGAGTTCTTCTAGGCCTTGCGAGACACAGATGCTTGTAAGCAATTGTTGCCTGCTTTCTTTATCTATAGCTATGGGAGGTGACTCTTAGTTTTGGAAAGCTGGAATTTCCTGCTCTGGGTATTTTTAATCCCTTAGATGTTGCTGTGAGACTGGAAGTATTCCTAGAAGACAGGGTGATGAAGGCTCTTCCCTTCCAAGCTTAGCTTTTGACAAAACAACCTGCTACTGTTTGTTTTCCTACTCAGGACAAGTTTATCAATAAATCTGAGAGGCTTGTCATTATGTGTATAAACTTTCCAGAGGAGATCAGCTCCCCCCACGTGTTTGCACAACACCTGGCACAGCTTGGCTTTGATCTCAGAGGCAGCACTCAGGTGCAGACACTGTTCTTCAGCATTTAATAAGTTTATAATCTCCCTCCCAGCTCTCAGCAATTATGTTCCAAAATTCATGCAGTGGTTCTTTTGTGGGAGCAAAGGGGAACTTCTGAAAGTTAAATGGAATTGTCCTTGTCAGTTAAGAGCCAGATTTTGATCCTGAAGTAGCTTCTCTATTCTAAAAGGGTGTATAGATGTACAGTAACTTGTATATATATCATTGTAGCTGCTTTTCACAACTTTTGACAGTCTCCTTTGACAGAGGCTCACAAGCCTCTGGGAGCCTTTGCCAAGTGTTTAAGTCTATGGTCAACTGACTGTAAAGCCACATTACAGCTCAGCTACCAGGTATGGGATTAATTCAGGAATTACTGGGTAAAATTTCCAGGCTGGGGTTATGAAGACAATCAGGAAGGTCACTTCTGAGCTTGTAGATAATTGCTAATAGTCTGTTAAATCATTTTTAACAATAGAAAGAAGAGCTTAGCCAAGGGTCAGTGTACTAAATGTCTTCTACCATGGCTGGCAGCAGAATCAGCTGTAAAGCCCCTAATTCCTAACTATGCTATTTAGCACAGGGGAAGGATTATCACCCCCATTGCCTAATGGGGATTAAGTCACTTGTCCAAGGTCACTCAGGAAATAATGACCTAGGGTGTCCCAAAGGTACAGATTAGTGGTTTAAATTTATTCTTCCTCTGTGCTAATTGTTAAATATTCATACTAGCCAAAATGATACAAAATAAAAGGGAAAAGGAGAGTGTATTTTTCTTAGCAGTGTGTGACTCTGTGATGCACTTGTTTCCTTTATGTAATATGTTAATTTTAAGGTATATATCTTAAGAGGGAGAAGGAAGAGTCAGATCCCTTCATGCCACTTGAACACCTTCATATGAATCTGGCTTATGAATTAGGATTGTAAAATTATTGCTTAAAAAGCTGGAAGCTTCTTAAGGGGCCTTTCTAAGTACAGAGCAACAAGCAGCTCTTCTTTTTCAGCCCTGGCCAGGGTTGTTGTTTGGTCAGAATCCAAATCCTGCTGAGTTGATCCTTGGGGCTGCAGCACACACAGTGAACAGTCCCCCCCAGCTCACTGCTCAGGCTGGCAGGAAAAAGGATTGTCCCACCCTCTGTCCCCCTCTCAGGGGGTTTGGCAGCCCTCGCAGGACCTGAGTGGGGTGTTTCAGTGGAAGGGCCTTGAGAGCAAAGGCAGCTCCTTGGGGGAGGAATGAGGGGCTCCCCAGGGATCACCTAAACCTTTAGGACTCGCAGCATCAATGCTCTTTGGCTCAGTACACTGGGGGGTTTATGTCATCCCAGCCAGAGACAGGAGAGGAACATTCTCCTCCAACACACTTTGTCTGCACCTGAGTACAAGGCAATGATTTGTTTTCTGAACAGACCTTTTGTCTTTTAAAAAGCAAACATCATCAAACAACAAACTGGCAGAATCGAAGTTTTCATGTCAAAGTATAACTTTTTTTTCCCCAAGATCTTTCAGACCAGAGAAGAAACACAACTCTGGAGAAGTGTATTTCCAACAAAACACTGACATGTTTCAGTTCAAAAGCAGAACAAGGTTCTGCTCATTTGGCCATGCCTGTTTCTCCCCCCTCCACCAGGTCAGAACAGACCCCCAGACACCACCAGCCTCCCAGCCAGTTCATAACTCAGCTGCTTACATGAAATGAATGGAAACAACCCCCTGAGTTTCAATGCAGTTGTTTTCAAACACTCTTGCAGTATCAAGTCTCTAGTTTGGGGGGGAATTTGGCTTTTCCCCCTCAAAATCCTGTGATTTTAACTCCTACCACTTCAGCTGTAGCTCTTGCAGGGAAGTCCCTGTTGGAGGCAGTAAAAGGAACCTTAAGAAATCAGCCAAGAAAATCTCCTGTTCCAGCTTAGCTTTGACATTATTATATTCAAATAATTCATTTAACATCTTTAATTGAAAAGCAATGGAGAACAAGGCTTGAAATCAACCCTCCAAAATGTAATCACTGTCAGAAAGAAGGGCCACAGCCAGCAGGAGAGTTAGGTTAATACTTCCCATCCACCTTTCTTGCTTTCTCAACTTCAAATGTTTGGGTTTTAAATAACAACAGATCTTCTTGGAAAAAAAAAAAAAAAATAAGAAAAAAAATACCCAAAATGTTTCATTCATTTTAATGTTTCCACTGAAGAACAGATATGATGAAAGTATTTCAGGTAGAGGTAAATGAGTCGTGGTGGGGAATCCAGGAAACAGAAATACAGTTTCTCCCTTTTTTGTGTGTGTCTGTGTTAGAACATTTAAAAAACCAACTTATTTTAGTATTTAAAAAAAGGAATATTTTTCTTATTTCAAGAAATGTTACTTTTCCTTTTTTCCCAGTCTTCACTCATTATTCTCAGTGTCTGCTTCTATAACAAAACCTCACTCAAAGCAACAAATGCAGTTTTATTTACAACGTGCACGTCGGGCTCAATACTTTGTGTGAAGGTGGTTGATAAACTCTCAAGCTCCACAGACTCCCTGTAACAACAATTCACCCCACAGGACTGGATGAGTAGGCTAAGAAACAACAGATCCATTATTTTTTCTCCTGAAACTGACAGAGGATAATTTTTACTTTAAAAAAAACCTCACAATTACCTAACAAAAAAAAAAGCCATAAGAAAAAAAAAAAAAAGATTGCTACTAAAAAATGTCTATTTACAATCTGTGAACCAGAAACTCATTTACTCACTGAATTAATTACTTGTACCCATAGACAAACTAAGCAGGAGCCTGTATTACTCAAGTCTACTTTTACAAAATTAAATATCTGCCTCTTTATCAAGTGGAGAGTTGCAAAGTAACAACATTTCCCTGGTGAAGTTTCCTACACTTTGGCATCTGGTGGAGTTCTGAAACACTTGCACACAAGCCAACCTCAAGGTTCACACCTGAGTGACACCACTTGTCCTCCCAGGAACAGAAGAGCACGCTGCAGAGAGCAGGCAGGCTACACTACAGCTCAAGGACAGCCCAGGGTACATGCAGAGCTCTGCTCCAGAGAGGTTGCTTTGGTACCAAAATCAAACCCAAGGGATGAATAAAAGAAAGAGAGGAAGCTCAAGACTGATCCTTGTCCCATCAAACCAACACAAACTGTGTTCAATGAGTCAGGTGTTCACCTTGGGTGAACTGTGAAGGCCAAGCTGGGAAGAAGAACAAGACCTGGACACCATTTTTGGGTTTTTTGCAAAAGACAACCATTTTTTTTTTCTTGAAAGGAAAAATAATGAGGAGGTTCTAAAATAATTAAAAAAAAAAAAAAAGCACCTTTAGAAACAGAGCAGAATGGCTCAAAGCAAAGCAAGTTTGGTAGTGGACAAAGCACAGTGTCTTGGACCTTGGGAGTCTTGTTGGAGACCAAGGCTCACATCTAGACACAGGTCTCTGGTGAAATGAACTGGGTAACCTCGGCTCAGTTTGGGGCTCTGTGGGAGGTGTGCCTGAGAGTAACAGCAGGATAGACCCTTCTGGTGGAAAGCTCTGAAATGAGTTGGGGCTGGGGGAGGGGAAAGAGGGTCCTGCCATAGAAATCCTTCCAGATTAAAGATTGCCAGGCAATCCAGGGCGAAGGCAGAGGTTTGCAAGCAGAGGGCAGTGTTTCATGCTAAGAGTGGCTAAGCAAGGGCTCGTTCTTGAAGTGAGGGCCTGGAAGAGTGTTATTAATGTCACTGTTGGCGTGGAGGATCCTTGGGGAAGGTCAGCTGCAGTTTTGAGTCCCTGGAGAGTTCTGCTGCTATGGGTTCCCTTAAACAAGACCTTCATTTGGCAGCATTTTGAAGGCACTGGAACGCCAGATGTTGCCCCAAGGGTTGTTCCTAGAGAAGCTGGTCCATAGCTAGAAGTCAGAGCTCCTTTTACACATGATGGATGGAGGAGTCATCTCAGTGGAGGTAGGTAGGTTGATTCCATCGGTACCAAGATCTGTTTGCAACACAGGGAATAAGAGCTACAATTGCCATGTTGGAAACAGTTTCCCCTTTAAAGAAAAGCATTATGATGTTTGTAACTCTGCAGCAAATGACTCTGCTCCTGGAGAAAGCTCCTAGCAACCCCCCTGTCTTTCTAAGCAACACCTTCCATTGTGCTGGTGACTTCACACCCTGCCTGGCTGTTGGACTTTCTCCACATAAGAGGAGGTCTGATCCACAGGATGCTCCATGGCTCAGGAAGCCCAGCAGCTGTGGGTAAGGCCCTCTGCTCTCTGTGGCCTCCTTAACACAGCATCCTTGTTGTGATGGAGAAGGAACTACAAGTGCAGAGAGGCCTGGGCAGCACAGACTGTGGCAGAGGCACCCAAGTGAAATAACCAGGAGCTCTGAGCCCATGTGTGCATGTGTGCTGCTAAAGCAGCATAGAATGTCTTGGGTTAGAAGGGACCCTTAAAGGTCATCCAGCCCAACCCCCCTGCAATAAACAGGGGCATCTCCAACCAGACCAGATTGCTCCATCAAGCCTGACTTTGAATGTCTCTACCACTTCTCTAGGCAACCTGTACCAGTGATCCACCACACTCCTATTAAAGAACTTTTTTCCTATTGTCCAACCTCAATCTACCCTTCTCTAGCTTGAAACCATCACCCCTTGTCCTGCTGTTTCATGTCCTGGGACCTTCCCTTGCCTTCTCACAGCCTCCTTCAGGGCAGAGGAAAAGCTTTGTTCTCCTTTCACCTGCTACAGTGGAACAATCACTGCAGCAGAGCTCTCTGGGTGGCACTGCAGGAGAGAAAACTCTGATTTTCTCCAAACAGCAGCAGCAAAGTCAGCTTCCTTCTGCTTGCTCCCCAGAATGACAATCTTCATGGCCAGTGTTTCTAATCAAGTTTCACATTGTTGGGTTTTTGTTAATTTTGGGGTTTTTTTAATAATTATTTTTAACCAGCCCAATTTTCCAGGCCAAGCTTGGCTGACTGTTGGCTTTCAAGCAGGAAAGCAGCCATGTCTGTCCCAAAAAGCTTCAGATGAGATATGAAGATTCACATAAGAACGTGCCACCACCACACAGCTCCACCTTGCTGGGGTCTCTAAGGGCTTTCACCTTCTTCTGTAAGGTCCCGTTCCTTTCATCCCCAGCCCTCCCATGGCTTTGCCAAGGAGCAGGTTGTGTCCTCCCCCACCAGCCCATCTTACCCTGAAGAGTTGAAACCAGAGGAGTTCATGGCAGCTTTGGAGTTGCTCTGGGCTGTGCCGGGGCTGCTGGCATGGAGTGCACTGCCAGGGGACGAGGGTCTGCTGGAGTTCCCTGGGGAACACGATGATGTTACTGCATGGCAGAGAAAGCAGAATAAGGCTGGGGTCTCCTTTTCCTGCCAAGGACAGCCCAGACACTTCCCCCATCTCCTGCCCATCCTGCTCTGCATCTGACTCCCAGTCTGCCCAGCAGCAGCCAGGCAGGATCCATGCCCCAGCCTCAGAGAGGGTGGGAATGTCTCCAGGACAACGTGAATTGTACTTTTTGAAGGACAACTGACAATGTTTGCTGAAGAAACACAATCACCTACCCCCAAGCACTCCTCTTGTTTGGATTCTAGGTGTGCTTGGCTCCCAAACTTAAACTCCCCAGTAAAACTTGCCTAGAACTACTCTGGGAATGTCACCATGCCCAGGAAGATTTCTGTCTCTTTGCTCTAGACAAGAGAAAGACTTGGCTGTTCCTGTGTGGGGATCCCTTCCCTGGCCAGACCCAAAGGTGTTTTTAAGAGTACTAAGAGAGCAAAAGCAGAGGAGGGAGGGAAGGAAGGGTGAGGGAGGGTGGCTTCTCAAGGCTTACCAGTCCCAGGCATGGTGCTGTGCACAGGGTTGACGGAGAGGGGCCCCAAGGACCCTGAGGTAGAGACCTGGAGAGAAAGAGAAGCCAACAGTAAGGACTTGGCATTATGAGGGGAGAGCTGACAAAATGCCACTTCCTTCACACAGCCCTTAGAGTGTGCTGGCTCCCAGGCAGACTTCTTATCTGTATCTGAGGCTCCCACAGGTATTTCTATTTGTACTCCAGTGTAGAAGCACAGTTCTTATATCCAGAGCCATGCAAAGAAATCAGAATGAGGATTACATGTACCTGATATTCTCTACCCAGCTTGAAATTTATTAATCAGCTATGGAAAAGCATGAAATTATCAAATGCAAGTCAACATTCCTGGAAGTCCTGAAATCTCATTGGTAGCAGCCACTGCCCTTCAGATATTTCAGACTGGATGTTCCCAGCCAGGAACTCCCCAGCTCTCTCTGGTCTTGGGCACAAATAATAAATCCCTTTTCTTTTAGGGAGTTCTTGATGGGTATGAATTCCTAGGTGACAATTAGTCATTTGGTGGCTGCAATCAAAGCAGGCCTGGGGCATTTTTTTTGTTCAACTGTGATGTTTTAACCACAGGCAACACATTGTTCAGAATGACTGATGAGCAGAGGCCTCCCTTGTACAACACAGTCACAGGAAAACTACTCATCAAAGTTACTGCTTTAAAAATTCATGGCTTGCAAGCTGCAGTTTGGTTTGTGTGACCAAATGCCTTGTGCAACAAGCAGCCAAACTTCTTGTGATGTTTTCCTGCCTTCTGAGGGATAATAATTCCAAAACCCAAAAGATTTCAAGATAAAATATTGTTTGCTAATATGTACTCTCCCTTCCACTCAAGTGCTCCAGCTCTAACAACACTGCAGGGAGGTTCCTGCTGCTTTTATAAGCAACTAAGCAACTATTAACTAGAAGAAATCGTAGCTGGTTATCCCCAGTAGCCACTGGTCATAGATTACAAGGATGTGATTTCACCACCTTTCCAAACAGTTTCTCTTTTCCTCATCATTCCTGGCAATGAAAATGCCCTTGTCAAAACATAAGTGTAGAACATATGGACAATTAGCACTGCTGGAGTATGTTCTGCATTTCTGCACAGATGTAAAATGACAAACTGGTACATCAATTGGTCCCATTAGGTTTCAGAGTTAACAACTAAATGGCCTTGCATGGGTGTAGTTCTCATTCCATGGAATGCTGATTCCTCCTGAATTTTGGAAAGCTTTTATTTACCAGTCTCAAGGTGAAAATTTTTGGGAGACCTCCCCTATATGGACACATTATCCTGCAATTAAACTGACCTGTATCTTCTAGGAAACTTGTAATTCATTTTATTATCTTAATTAATAGAATAAAAACAAATGTCTCAGAAGTACAGGCATGAGATTCCATTCCAGCTGGGATGGTGTGTCTATGTCCAGCTGTGGTGAGCCCAAGTGCCTCTCTGCAGACCCCTGCAGGTCTTGTCCCCCCCCCAGGCTTTGGGCTGGACTTGCCAGCAACTCAGGGACTTGTGTGCACAAGGAAACTTCCTGTCCTCTTTCATTTCCAAGCAAACCCTGCTGGTTCCCCCCACACCCTTTTCTCCTCTTGTCTAGCATGTAGAACTCCTGAATCCACAGCCTCTCACCAGTCTGGAATTGTAGATGGGTGATTTGATGGGGGATGGCATCGGGCAGCTGATCCGCTTCTCTTTCTGGCGCCGGTTGCAGAACCAGACTCGAACCACTTCCTTTTCCATGGACAGCTGCTCTGCTATCAAGGATATCTCCTCTGAACTGGGCTTGGGGTTCTGCTGAGAAAGGGCAGGAGGTTAAAGAAAGCCCCCCAAAAGCTGTAACTTCCAGCACTTCTGCTGCTGGAAAGGCAGAGGGCAAGGGTGGGGTTGTCTGTAAACTGGGGAGGGGAGAAAATTTGCTCCTAAGACAAAAGGTAAATATTTAGGTGAGAGATTATATTCTGTGAACCAGAAAGGGCCTCTAATTCAACATCAAGTCTCATGGAATCAGAGGAGGGTGAGTCAGAGAACCTGGTCCTATTATTGCATAAAGCACCATGCTCTTTGATCTTAACAGCACCCAAAGTCACTGCTTCAGGGGAAGCTGATGACTGCTGGTCTTCTCGCCACCATGAGCCCCAAGTGCTGGTTTCACCCCTACCTGCACCACCTCAAAAGGACCATTTCTTCTCTTTCTTCCTCCATCTCTCATTTATTAAGGGAAATAAGTACCTATCCTGTCTTCTCACTCAGACATTTTCTGGTGCATTTAGTATTATGGGCTTTGATCCTGAGTCGAAGGGTTGAGGGTCAAAAATACCCACCAAGAAGATGCCAAGAGAGTTTTCCCATTACAAAGAATGCCTAAAACTGAGGTGCCCATAATAATCTGACAAGGTCTTTTGTTCTCATTACACTCTTGGCTGGAGCACTGATCAGTGAAAGATAATGGGGAGGTGTTGTCAGGAAATGGAAACAACATTTACCAAGGAAACAGTTTGGTCTGATTTTGGTTTTGAAACTTTTCCTATTAACCTCCTCAAGCATCTTCTAACCTGACATAAAACCAAAAAGATTCGGGCTTGGTTGGGGTTTTTTTTTTGAAGTTTCAGTGCTACTGTGACCCCCAAAAAAATGCCAAAGTTCACAAGACATGGAAAGATTTTCCCCTCACATCTTGGAATCTCTTCTCCAGCGTGGAGCGGATGTTGGTCTCGATGCTGGTTCTCTTCTTTCTTTTCCTCCCAAACATCTCATTCACTGAGGGGTAAGAGTTGGGGGTGCTCATGGAAGAGTCCAAGGGAGCAGATTCTGGGGAAAGAGAGAGGGGAAGACTTATCTTAAAGAAGATAACTCACATTTTCATTCCTAGATCCTTTCTGGGAACTATGGTACCTCTTAAATAAGTGAAACGTTCCTACATTGTGGGTCCTTCCTCTGATGATTAAAATTGCCCCGTCAGTCCCAAACCCACCAGTTATCTTGTCCAACTCAAAATAAATACAAGTGCTAAAATTTTAACCAACAGGCTATTTTTTTTCCTTTGTTTTTCCAGCTTCCTTTCCAGCCTCCCCTGATGGGGAGCACACATTTTCTTTCCAACGGTTTTCACTTCACACAGTTGAAGATGTTGATTTACACCCCTGGGATCAGGCCACACGTAGCTGAGACACCTCCTGGTACAAATTGGTCAAACATGCAAGTCCTGGAGGGCTGATGGAAGCAGATGAGGACACCAGCCCAGTCCTGCTGCTACTGGGGATTCTCCTTGCAGCAACACCTTCCTAATCACTGCTCCTGGGCTGATCTTGGCTCCAGCTCCAATTGTCCTGGTTGTTACTGGAGGTTCCTGGATGGATCCTCTCTCATTCTGGCCATTCTGCATGGAATGTCACTTACCTGCATCACTCAGCCACTTCTCCAGCAGGGGTTTGAGCTTGCACATGTTCTTAAAGCTGAGGTTGAGAGCCTCAAAGCGGGAGATGGTGGTCTGGCTGAAATCATTGCCATAGAGCTTCCCCATGGCGAGCCCAACGTCACCCTGCCAAAGAAGATCACCACATGAGCTCAGGAAATCCCCTCCCAGCTTCCTACCATCAGACCACTTCTCAGTTTGCTCCCAGAATAGGTACAGCCTTGTTTCCATGACCTGCCTTCCAAAAAAAGTTACTTCCCTCCCCGCAGGAATCTGCCCCAAGCCCCTGAGCCTTTGTGTTCTGGAGAAGGTGCAGATATTGAGGCTGTGGTGTTAGGGAAGATTTGTCTCTTCACCTATTTAGAAGGAGATACTCCAAAGAAAGCCCAACTGTATCTAATCAAGCCCTTCCTCCATCCATGCCTCTGCCACAACCCTCCCCAGTTCAACATGTCCCCACCACAAGTGACACCACCCTTCCCACTGACGGGGCTGTTCACCTGTGTGAAGCCCAGTTTGATTCGCCTTTGTTTGAAAGTCTTGGCAAACTTTTCCAGCTCCTCCAGGTCACTGGGTTCCTCAGATGCTCCTGATGGATTGAGGTGCTTTGCCACTTGCAAATGCTGGGGTACATCCAGGTGGGGTTCAACTGATGAGCCAGGGAGTCCAGAACGACCCACAGCCTATGAGAACACCACCAGAGATGCCTAAAGTCACAGCAATAGACAAATGCAACATTTTCTCTGCCATTTGACCTTAAATGAAGCAGCAGTTTTGTAGATGGGTGCTTCTCAGGAGTATGTTGAGGCAAGTTCATAGAATCATAGGATGGTTTGTGTTGGAAGGGACCTTCAAGATCATCCAGATCCAACCCCCTGCATGGGCAGGGACACCTCCCACCAGACCAGGTTGCTCCAAGTCCCATCCAACCTGCCCTTCAACACTTACCTGTGATGCCAGGCTGGGTCCTGGTTGGGAGAGGAGAAGGCTGCCCTGTTGCTGAGGGAAGGAGAGGAGGTTTGGCTGCAAAGCTGGGGAAAGAGAGAGACATCTGGTCAGCCCAGCTCCTCCAGCAGCACCCGGGCAGCTGAACATCACCCTGCTCAGAACAGGCTCATGGAGCTCAGGATGGAAAACATTAGTGTTCTTCTGGTTCAAAATGGGAGAATTTCAGCCATGAACAACATGGAGGGTTCTGAGTTGCATGATGAAAAAGGAAAGGTTCTTTTTGTGCCTCTTTAACCTGAAAGGGATTAATGCAATCATAGAATCATGGAATGGTTTGGGTTGGAAGGGACCTTCAAGATCATCCAGATCCAACCCCCTGCATGGGCAGGGACACCTCCCACCAGCCCAGGCTGCTCCAAGCCCCATCCAACCTGCCCTTCAACACCGCCAGGGATGGGGCAGCCACAGCTTCTCTGGGCAACCTGGGCCAGGCTCTCACCACCAAATACCACCTCCAATAATGATGTAGGTAGAACATCTCCTCCAGCAATCCCTGCACGTAGCTCATTGACCTCAGGCTGAATTAGGGCACAGACATTTTACATCAACATCTAACTTTGATTTTAGACACCAAGCAGAAGAGAATTTAATATACTCCTAGGGTGATTTCTCCCAGTGCTTAATCATTGTAGCTGTCAAAGCAAAAGTAAATGTCCCTCCTATTTCCAGTAGAAGCTTTTCTGACTCCAACTTTCAGCCACTTGATCTTCTTTAAAAGCTCCTGATCCTACAGTTGAACCAACCCACTGTGGATTCTACTACACATTTCATGCTCAAGTGTCATTTTGAAGCCACCTGACCCTTTCTTCTCTACCCTACTGTATTTCAAATACATTGAACTTCTTTTGGAGTATATAAACTGACACAAAATGCTGAAAGTAAAAAAACCAAACAAACCAGGGACATCTTTAAAACTAATAAAAACTAGTATTTATGGGTGCTGCATAATTGTTTAGCTGACAAACTGCCAAGTACAAGCCTGTATCTCTTGCATGGAACATCCTGAGGGATTAAGTAGTGACCAGGGCAGTGCAGTTCCCCAGAAATTCAGTTTAAATTCTTCAAACCTGTTGTGGGTGAAGCTTCTAGAATTCAGTGAGAATTTACAACCTTTCTTGAAACACTCAATACATTTCATTGATTGTAACTGACAATTATAAGGAACACTACAGGAATTTATGCATTTCTGCTAAAAAAAAAGGAAACATGATCTCCAGAATCAATTACACCCCCTCCCTCTCTCTCCTTCTGTCTTTCCCTCCCCCCCCCCCCCCCTCTTTTTTTAAATTTAGATCTGAATGTGCAGGCATCCCATTTATTTAGATTGGTGTTTCAACAAGCCTTCCCTAATGCTGGAACAACTTTGAATTACAAATGCAGGCTGGTAATGAGGTGCACATTTTGAACAGTGGAGGTAATTAATCACTGGAATGGCTTGCCTAGGGACACGGGGGATGCTCTGTCATTTGGAGTCTTTAAAATAATGATTGAACACCTTGGTGAAAGCCAAGCTCCAGCTCAAATGGAAATGATGGGCTGGATTCAGGAACCACTGGTTTGACAGCTGATGGGGCTTTGTTTTCCTGAAATGAAGACTTCAGCAGGCATATCTTGGCTGGCAGTATTCCCAGCACTCACCTGGCTGCTTGTTTCCACCTTCATGGAGCAGAGCTCCCAAGCCCCTTATTCCAGAGTGCCAGCATTAGCCCCATCAGGCCATACTGCATCAGACCTGGGTACCTAACTGCCTCAAAACCAGCTTTAAAACATGAAAACCGAAGCAAATCTCATGTTCTCTTGGAAAGGACAAGCCCACAGCCAAGTCCCTTTGGAGATGAAATCCACCAAGTGATGCACCCACCAGTTAGAGCTGAGGGAACTGGGTGTTCACACACTGGCCTGAGGAACAACTTCAGGAATATCACTTCACTGCATCTCTTTGGGGTGAGGAACACTCCACCTCTATCTGTACCAAACTGGTTCCACAAAACCCACCTGTGCCTTCACTTTCCCTCCCCAGTGGCTGTGCAAGTAGGAGGCAAAGGATCATTAGAGCCTGGCAATCCTTGATGCAGATGGAAATGCCCTTGCACAGACAGCTGGCTGCTGGCCAGAACATCCTGTCTTCATCAAGTCTGGAACCAAAAAAGGTCATGGCCAAGCAAGTGGCCATCTGTTGGAGCTGCCAAAGGAAGTAATTTAACAGAAGAAAACCTAACTCTATAAAAGGAAGCAATTTCTGTTTTGCAGCAGAACATATTTCCTGCTAGAGATGGATAAAAGGAGGCAGAAAGCAATAGATTACCCTGACCCTGCCATCTCAAACAAACTAAATTTTAGTAGTTTCTTTGTACTTCACTCAGCATCATTTGGCAGAGGGAAGAGCTGCTATACAATAAGAAATAGGTTTCCCACTTGTCTACAATACAGATTATCTTTTGGGGCACATCCACCAGTGGATTCCAGCTGCAGGGGTTTTAAGGTTTTAATTCTGAATTTTGCTTCATACAGAGGGATCTCTGTGCTAGAATAAAACAAGGATGTGAGCAAAGGACCCAAGTCCCTGTGCATCTGCCAGGTTATGGATCAAAGCCCACGTTTGTCTGTCCAGAAGCAGCATAAAACTCCATCAATGGCTGCCTGTGCCCCCACTGCTGGAGAAATGCCAGAACAAATATCAGTGGTAAAAATAGAAACACAGGGACTCTTCTCAAGCACTGAGCTCAGTCCTCAGGCCTTTCATCCCTGTGGAGCTGGTTACACAGTGTTTTAGAAGTAGTTAGATCTCCTGTCCTCTCCTGCCTTGGAGCAAGGTCTGGGAACAACCACTGGCAACTCCAAACCTCTCAGCTCTCATCCCTGGTTGCTCCTGGCTGGGTTCAACCTATTTGTTCTAGTGCCAACATTGTCCTTCCACCAGAGCAGCTCAGCTCCTTCCCTGGACTCCGTCCAGGACACTTGGATCAGCTCAGCCTCTCAGCAGTTTCCTGGGAGCAGTGCAGAGTGCTCCCCCAAGCCAGGCGGGCTCCCAGAGCTCCCCAGGGAGCAGACTCCTTGCTGCTCTGCTGAAAGCCAAGCTGATGCTGCCCTGAATTTCAGAGGTGGGATCCCTCCCAGGTGTGCCCAGCCTGGCCCCAAGGTGGCAGTCTTGATGCACACAAGCCACAGGTGCCAGAAGCATCTCCCTTCCCAGGGGAGCTCCATGGCTATGGGATCATCATCCCAGGTGTGGGAAGCAGCACAGGGGGAAATGCTGCTGGTACCACAGCAGGGGAACAGGCACCAGCCCAACACAGCAGCTCAAAAGCAACAGTCACCAGCAGAGGGGCTTTTCCTGGGGATGGATCTGCTTAGAACAACACCCCTCCAGGATGGATTGCTCTTACCTTGTTGCCCAGCCTGAGACTGAGACAGAAGAAACTGAGGAACTGACTGCATGTGTCCAGGAAGCAACACAAGCTGCTGCAGGGTGTGAAGAGAGCTCATATCCTACGGGAAGAAGCAGAGGGAATGACCAAACTCAGATGCTTGCCCTTCACACAGCATCACCCCTCCTAGAAAGCTTCCCTTCTCTTTTACCCCGTCCTTGCCCCCATTCACAGTTTGCATTTAACACATCAGGTTTGGGTGGTCCAGGCACTGGGGAGGTGCAGATCCAGAGGTGCAACCTGACCTGGAGTTGGCAGCTGGACAGGAAGGATCCTGAGCACACAGACACACACAGAGAGTTGCCTGCCTTTATCTGAAAAAGCCAGTTATTGCAAATGACATTTTTTGAGGCACTGGCAATCAAAACCTGGTTGTTGGAAGTACCAGTGAAATCTCTTCTGTTTCAATTTTATCCAGATCAGGTATTTTCATCAAATGTCACAGGAAATTGCAGCTGACTGCCCCAGCTCACAAACACCACGAGCCTGCTTTCCACAGCAGGCTGGTTTCCCAGCCAACAATGTGTTGAGATTGGGAAAGAAGCAACGCCCTGATCCTCTGCACCAACGGCAGATGAGTTGCAATGGATACAGAGATCAGATCCAAAAAATATTCCCTGTTCTTTGCCATGCAGACACCAGGAATTCCTCACCCTGCACTGAGCAGAGCAGACAATAGGTACAGAGAAATGAGGATTATATCCTAGTGCTCTTGTATATTATTGAGGTCCCAGTTCCAGGTCCTTTGTTGGGACTAGGGAATAAGAGTTTGCATTTGCATGGGACAGACACACACACAAAAAAAGAAGCCCCAACTAGAGGTACATTTTCCAAGAAGCTCCTTGCTCAATAAAATGAGCTCTTTGAGCTTCTCAAGAACTGTTTGGGATCCTTGGGGAACTTGAACAGTCTTGAATTGTGTAAGGGATCTGAATAGCCCTGGAAAGAACAAGGGAAGAGATAATGAGGAGCTGTGTGGCCTTCTGGCTTCCAGCCCTCACTAGAATGGAACAAGAGTCAAGTGCTAAACTCCATTTTTTTTGCCTTAGGAAAAAAAAATATATATATAAAGGACAATTTTGTTCTCTCATGTAAATAAATTTGAGCCAACATATTCAAGGGTGGTTATAATGGTTCAGACCAAGAGTTTATCTGGCCTAGGATTCCCAACAATGGCCTTAACCAGAAGTTCATGCAAGAGGAAGAGCAGGCCAAGCATGTCTGACATTTCCTTTTGGTGTTATCTCAGCCTCCGACTATTTTCAGTTCAAGGGATTTCCTGGGCATGGTGTGGGTTGTTAAATTAGTAACACCCTCAAAGGGAACCTCTTCCAAGGATGTGTCCAGTCTGCCTTTGAACCCATGCAAAACCTTCTGCAGAGAAGACAGATGCTGAGGAGGGAGGTGACTTTTGCCAACACGGATTCACTTTTTCCAATTCAGTGCCCATCATGTCCCCAAGTCTCCTTTTGCCAAAAGACAATATGGGCAAGTGTCCCAACACTAGCCTCTTCTCTGGAGGTTCACTAACCTGTGCCAGCTCAGACTTACCCCTGCAATTTGGCTTCCAGGCATCATTGATGACCCTTGCACAAGGTGACCTGACCGAGGGGGGATCGTAGATTGCAAGGAGTCACTGAGGTCCTCGGTTTTAATCTGCAGAAAAAGCAAAGGAATTAAAAAAAAGCAAAGGAATTGCAACATCAGAGAGCAGAGACAAGGAGATGCAGGAGGTCTGGGGCAGCTGGGAGGGTGGAAGGGCTGAGGAAAGGGTTCCTTTCAGAGAAGACTGAGGACTCCTGACTTTACAGAAGGGCATGATCATTCTATTCCTCTGGTCCTCAGTTTATAACATGGACATTATTTTCCTTCTCTGCCAAGTGGAGCTTTGCAGTTTGCTCAATTAAAACACTTTAGGAAATAACCAAGTTCCAACTTAGGGTACAAAGCAAGTGAGTGATTTCCTTAGACACAATGCTGCATTTTGTGGAGTTATCAGGAAGATACAAAGCAATTCTCCTTTAGAGATCACAGCTCTCAAACACTGTGGCCTGGGGTGTAGATGACCTCCCATTTTGTTCTGCAGGGGGCAGAGAATGGTACCAGGGGGTGGGAAAGGACAGATCATCAAGTAAAATACCTCAAAAAGCAGTGCCACCTTCCAGACTAGAAAATGCAGCACTCCAGGTACCAAACATATTTGTTCAGTTTCTACCAGAAAGTAACAAGAAATTGTGGTGGTCAAGCAAGGAAAAATCTGCTTCTTGAGCTAGGACAAGCTGTGGAAAAAGAACTGGAAAACAGGAGTCAACCTTTTGCCCAGTGGTCATTTTGGCCTACTTTATTTTTAGGATTCCTGCCTATAAAAGAATCCTGATTTTTGAGTCCACATTCTTAAGAGAAGAATTTACCCAAGGACCAGAAGTGAATCCTTCTGCCTTGTTCACTCCAGTCTCCATGTTCATTTCTACCATTGCTACTACATTAAAATAAAATAAAAATTACCAAAAAAAAAGCCAGCAAAAACTTTGTATCAATTTGTACTGGATGAAATCCTTCTGGTGAGGCTGTCTAGGACAGCAGAGTGGGGAGGACCTAGAAGTTTTAGAAGAAGGGGAGAAGACTTAGAAAGTTTCAGATTCATTCCTGAAAGCTGTCTGAGGAGTGTCTATTTGCAGATGTCACACCCAGGAGACAAAAGTCACCCAGGGCTCTTATATCACGTTTTCTCTAAGAAAAGATCCAAGCCAACAATCCAACCACTTCCAAACTTAGGCTGAAGTTTTTTCTAAGTATGAGAACGCCTGGAACAAGGCTCACATCGTTAGTCCCACTCCTCACCTAAGCTTTCCAAGGCAAGAATAGGCTCCAGTTTTCACAAATTAGAAAAACCAGGAAGATACCAGGAAGGTCAAGTCTTGAAAACCCTGTCCACAGGCTCAGCTCTGCAGATCTGCTCTTACTACTAGGGCTGAACCTCACCATCTCCCACCAAACACCTGAGCCCAACATCTCCCACCAAACACCTGAGCCCAACATCCCCCAGAAGACGAGCAGGGTCTCGTTGACCAGGATTCTACAGTGGTGATGGGGCCTTTAGGTCATACAACCTCCTGCCAGCAGAGGGACAGGAGAAATTCAGCTACGAATCGTACAACGATCGTACAACGGCCTCAGCGAATATTTTTTTGGTAGAGGAAGGTTTTTTATTTCAGTTTGGTTAAAGAGAACGTGCCCACAAAATCTCTACATAGGGGAAAATGTGCTCCCAAGAGGATCAGAGCTGGCCCTGTACAATCAACCTCTGCATTTTGGAAGGTGCTACAAAGGGGAAGAGAGTAACAACAACTCCCTTCCGTACAACCGGAGCTCTGGACGCTGCCGAAACTAGTTCTGCAATAACCCCAACTCCTTGCAGCAAGAGCTCCACATGCTATGAATTCCAGCACTTTCCTACCTTTCAGGTTGGCATGATCATCCCTCTCAGCCTGGCGGAAGGCAAAAAAAAAATCAGATGGAAAGATCTTCTTGATCACTATCAAGGTGGATAGTGTCTAAATTAGTCGATGACAGACAAAAGGCTGAGGAGAACACACCGTTACCTCTGAGCCATCCACTGCAGGCAAGGGGGTTTCTGCCCTTTTGCTTTGAATTTCGTTGGGTGCGTGGAAAAAATAAAGTCACCGGAGCCCAAAAAAAGAGGAGAAAATGAATAAAAATGTAAAAATTAATATCAATTAATTCCCCACGCTTGCCATTCAGGTGTGTCTGCCTCACACAGCCCAGCCAGGTCGGAACGGGCGCCAAAGGGCCGAGTTATCCGCGTCTTAGAGGACAAGGCACTTGGTCCTGCCTAAGTTATGATCCCGATAGGAGCGGAGTGTGGAAGAAGCACAAGCCATTTCCAAACCGAAATCAATGTTTCCAGCTGCCAAGTGGAAAGGTTTGGAAGCATTCCAGGGTGAAAGGGGCGTGTTGCTGCATCCCGGCATCACACGAGGTGGGAACGGGAGGTGGGTTTGGCAAAGGACTGGCTCCCGATTTGAAAACAACAACATCTCCCACTGCTCCTTCCCCCGTCCCTGGAATTCTCTGGCTCCCTCCTGCACAGTGGGCGGGGAACTTGGGTGTTCTTGACAAATCCTCCTGCCCTGCACCTATTTTCATTGGGTTTAGGCTCAATTTTACCTCTTCCTCCTCTTCCTCTCCCCACCAGGCCTGCAGCTGGCTAATTGTTCATTAGTGAGAGCTGGGGGTATATCCAAAACTTTTGGGATGGTTTATGCAAATCCTGCACCTTCATTTTTATTTTTCTTTTCCCTGGCTAAACTGGCAGAATTACCAACTCTACATTAAACAAACCCAAACCCAAAACCCCAAAAAACCACACACATTGTGGGCGAGGCCACTCAATATCATGAGACTCCCTTAAAACAATGTAAATTTCAAATGAATAAAAGCGAGGGGAGGAGCTGCCTCCTCCTTTCCCAGTGCATCTGCCTTGGACTTGCAGGCATCTTCTAGCAAGACAGTGAAAGTTTTCTTGAAGGAATAAAAAAAAAAAAAAAAGGTGGAAATGATCACAGAAACATCTCATGAGAACCCTGCTAAAACACTGCGAGTGAGCAACAGTGATTTCATTAAAAAAAGGTCCCACTGTGATTCTTCAGGACCTTGTTTTGCCATAAATCAGACCAGACAGGGAAGGGGGAACAAGAAGTCACTGAGATCAAATCTAAGATCCTTCCCATGGAGTTGGATTTGGGGACGTGACACCAGCTTAGGAAAATGAACTTGTGAAACAAGGGGGCCAAGCCATGCATGGCAAAACCACCCCTGATGCTCCCTGACACCTCGGGAGAGGTGCAGAGCCTGGGAATCTCCAGGCACTTTCTTCCCCTTGGGCTGGAGGGGAATGAACGTGGGAGCAGGTCCCAGCTCCTCCCGAGGAGGTAACGGCAGATGGCGGCACCGGCGCGTGGAGCTTCCTGGGGCTTCTCCAGGATGGGAAAGGAATCACACTTGCAAATCTCAACTGGATGTTTTCACAGCCTTAAAATAGGGTCAGCTGCCCCCGAGCAATCAGTGTGAAAAACACAGGAAGGGTGACTGGATGGAAAGACAGTCCTTTCCTTAGTTGGCTGGCACATCTGCTGGGCCTGGCCAAGGATACGTTATTTCTTACCTATCTCTGGCCCAAAAACAAAAACAAAAAGCAAAACAAACTAAGAAACATATTGAGGGCGATGGAAAATGATCAAAGCTCTCCAGCTTGCTTGCGTAACCAATTTGTGGAAGGTGTTTCATAAACATTTCATAAGAAGGAGAATTATGAAGAAAACATCTCCCAACCTGCCTGCAATTACTGCAGAAACTCTTCCTTACCAGTAGGAAGAAGGGGAGGAAAAAAAAAAGTACATCTGTTTTGTAACTGATCTGTGAACTTTTGGCAAACGTTCGGCTCATGAAAACATCCTGCAGACATATTGCAGGGCTGTAAAACCCAGCCTTACACGAGGAAGTTGGAAAGATTCACCTCAGAAGCTCTGATGGCAGCGTGGGGAAGGCAGGGCGACCAACAGACCCTGCTCGGTCCGATCGGCTGATGGTCGGGCCTCACTCTGGCTGCAGCCCTCCTGGTCTAAGCCCAGCTTAGGATCACTGCTCACTGGGAATCGGGTCTTCCTCATCTCCTGGACACCAGGGCGGGCAGCCTGGGTGAAGCCCCAGGCCACCTCCTTTTGCTGAGCACTTGGGATGTAACACAAGCACCATCATCCTCTTCACCAAGGTGGGACCTTTAGACCAATTCAGTGCTAAGAGCCTGGGTTGCTTACCCCAAATCCAGAGAAGAGATCCCCATAACTTGCCCCAGTGAGGCCATTCAAGGACCTGCCAGCTTTCTCCAGTCCCAGCAAGTAGGCAGGAGCTGTGGTCCTTATTGTAAGAGAGAAGACAACCCTTTTTGTTGTGCAGTTTCTATTTAGACAGTAACCTCTTGGAAACAGATATTCATCTGCAGTCCTATCTGGCTTATCTCACAGTCAGCAGCTCAGAAGTGTTTCAGAGTCTGCCTCACTCTTATCCCTCCTCCCCTCTCATTGCAGAGCAGCAAGGCCCTTTTTCCCTGGATAGAAGAGGGTCAGGTGCACCCAGACTTAAAACTCTGAACCAATTGCCCCTTGCTGAAAACAAACAGGATGGTTCTTCCAGAGCTGAATCAGCCCCAAAACACCACTCGACACGGAGTTGTCTGAAGCTGCCCCAAGGAGTAAATGTTATGGTAGAAGCAGGTATCATAGCTGGATCCAAGGCTGGAGCAGTTAACTAAACCTTCCTTCCTTCCCATGGCACAAACGTGCATCTCTCTGAATTACCTGCACACGTGGGCACCATAAAATAAAATAAAAAAACACACACTAATAATAAATTATAGCAATAAGAATAATGGGCTTGCAATTATGATTTCCACATGTACTATCCTGCACATGCAGCAAGGCTTAACAGACACCCAGGAAGGAAGCAGAAAGACCTAATGTCAGGGACATGATATTCACCCTGTAATAGTTGATGTCCTTTCACACTGAAGGGGAGGATTTTTCAGAAGCTGTCAGCATGACACCAAGGGAGTTAATCCCATGCTGATTGCCTGAGAG